CGACAGATAATTAAGGAAAACAAAATCAGAGTGCAACAAATTTTGTAAACATGACGGTCGTAAGAGGCTGTCACGACTGTGACGGTCATGACGATCGTAATGAAGTTGTGACGACCGTCACATCAGCAAATTCTGGGCGTTACAATTTCAACTCACAGAAACATATATTTCACAATTCAATTAGACAACATGCATTTAGTAATGATACATAGCACAGAAGCTTGGATGAACATACAACAATAACTTGATTAACATTTTGATTACAAGGCATCTTATTAATTTACAGCGGAATATAAAACATTTCCAACATTTAGCATGATTAAAGCAAGACCATGAAACTTGCAACAAAACTCCATTAAAATTCAGCAAGTAATTATCTTGCATCAATTCAACATAAACAACGAGTTTCAACCATAAAAATCAGCACTACCAATTCATCGGTACAGTGCATCTAACCAACATTTGGCACTTAACAGCAGCCATCAATTTAATGAAAAATGCTTGATAAAATTCAGCAACAAGGAAATTAAATACAAGCAATAACATCAATCGTTCATCCCCCCCAAGAGTGCTACGTATCAGAGCGACCAACAACCTTAAACAGAAAGCTACACTTATTCCGGATTACCTGCAAATTACCACCAATGGAGGTAACATACAACGTAAAGGGTGAGATATCAACAATATAACATAAGGCATGATAAAAGTCATGTCAAAATATTATCACAGCATTATAATTCCAGCAGTTCGCATAAATATTAGTAATAATTAAACTGCAACCACTCTTTATTCATAACCACAACAATTATCATCATATCTCCGCAACTCATCAAAACAACTCAACAACGCAACTCAACAATGCGACTCAACAATGCAACTCAACTGTGCATATGCATGTGGTACCATTTTGGGAGACAACTCTCCACAATAATTCGGGAGACAACTCTCCACAATAATTCGGGAGACAACACTCCACAATAATTCGGGAGACAACTCTCCACAATAATTCGGGAGACAACTCTCCACAATCATTTTATTTTGTCATTAAAGACACAACCGTCGCCAATCCAGGCCAAATGATATGCTATGAGATGCAACTATTATGGACTATAACACAACAACAACAACTGTGCAACAACCGTGCAACAAGGCATCACGCCTACAACCAATTATCCATAACAGAAACATCACATTTCGCATACATCATGTACTCACCATTGCAACCTGTTCATATCAGAGAACTACCAACAGTATCGTTCCTACGAATAAGACTCTAACACATTTTCACAGAGAACAATTAAAAACAACCTCGTCTCTACAATTGAGAACTCAACAGCATTTTCATGTCAGAGAACAACTGACAACATCATTACTACAAATAAGAACTCAACACATTTTCATATACCTTCATACGAGTAATGTAACTACAACTTATCCATATAATCCAAGGAGAATATTATAATAACATTTTCTCAACAGTGACATAACAACTTCATATGCATCAAGTATTCATCATTTCAATCTGTTCATGTAGGCGAACAATAACAACATACTTTCGACAATTAAGAATTCAGCACATTATCGTAAGAACAACGTTATAACTTTTACTCACAAATTAATTATAGTTCGTGAAAAGGTTCGTTAACTACGGGACAACTAATCTTGCCTCATTAAGGGCAACCATACAACATCGTATAACATTGACGATATAACACATTCATTCCTACACAGAAAAACCTCGTCCCTAACATTTATCGGGTAACGGGAACTATATCTATGATTCGATTCCCTACCTGAAGTCGATCAAGTAAGAGCCTAATAACAACCTTTTCTCAACAAAGGGGAAATTAGCGTGTGTCGGCGCCGATTCCCAACATTACTACATAAACTAAGGACATAAACACTGATGCAGGTGTAGACAAATATTAACCCTTAATATTTCTCAACCTACGAGAACATTTACCCTTAATATTCTCTTAATATTTCTCAACCTACGGGAACATTTACCCTTAATATTCCCTTAATATTTCTCAACCTACGGGAACATTACCACAGGAACATTACTACGGGAATATCACTACGGGAACATTACTACGGGAACGCTACTACGGTAACATCACTACGGGAACATTACTACGGGAACGTTACTACGGTAACATCACTACGGGAACATTAATCCTTAATATTTCTTCAACTTACGGGAACATTACTCCTTAATATTTATCGATCTACAGGAACATTAATCCTTAATATTTCTTCAACTTACGGAACATTACTCCTTAATATTTATCGATCTACAGGAACATTAATCCTTAATATTTATCGACCTACCGGAACATTAATCCTATGATTCAATTCCCTACATGAAATCGATCATACCCACAATTATAGAATTGAACCCCACCCTTACCTTTGGATTAAGGACAACTCTAAGCTTTCGGTTCCGGTTTGCTCTCCCGGTGACTCTTCTGCAACAACTTTCAATTCTCTCCGGCGGTTAATTCTTCTGTTCCTCCTTTCTCCACAGCCTTTTTCCTCCAATTTGGTTTTTTGAGCAGTTTATCGTTCTTTTGCTCTTTCTCCCACAACTTCTCTAATAACTCCCTAATTCCCTTTATTCTCTCTACTACTACTACTACTACTACTACTAATAATAATAATAATAATAATAATAATAATAATAATAATAATAATAATAATAATAATAATAATATAATATTACTACTAGTTATTAAATTATCATCATTATTAATTATATTATATTATTATCAAACTCAATGATTTATTAAATGGTTTCCTATACTTCAAGGACACCCACCAACGCTCTCAGACACACTCCCACATAAAGGCACACCAACAATTCATAAATAATTTAATTAAAATGAACGGGCGTTACAGTTAGGAGATGTCTCGTTGAAGATTTTCATTGACGGTACAAGTGTATGTGGATGAAAAGAACTTCTGCTAAAGGGGAAACATTATGGATAGACTCACACTTGAGGAGGAGTGTTGAGTATAACAAGTGTGAGTAATATGGGTAGTAGTCCCACATTGGCTAGAAATGTGGAGACTTGAGAATTTATAAGTGAGAGAACCCATACACCTATCACCTTAAGATTTTGGGTGAATATATGACGTGTCTCTCACAAAGGTGTTGCTCAAGAAAAGAAGTCTCACAATGTTTAATGCTCCCTAGTGAAAAAAACCCAACAGCACACACGTTGTATATTTTCTTTGATATTTGAAACATTTATAGGCCTTTTTTTTTGTTTCAAAGATGCATGTTTTTCGGCGCCACCATGTTTAATGTCATCTCCGAAACAAGTTCCCTCTCCTCCGAAATAAGGAAAAATACAATTGAATGACCGACTAGCTTGTAACTCAAGACATGATTATGTATACCAGAAATCACCTTAAATTTCCATGTGTCATCCGCCATACGGTATCCACATAATTTAAACTGACACTCACATTTTCTCGTTCTAGTGTCATCTCGCTTCAACTTCCTAACCTATGGTTAGTACGCACCACTTCTTTTGCATCTCATTGTTACAAATGCTTGTCTTATATCCGAACCATTGTCAGACCTTCTAAATACAAAGTCAAACCTCAATTTCCCGACCTCCATGCGAACCCATTATAACATATGTTCATGAACCATAAACTCTTGTTTATTTATAAATTATGCACAGACATCTACCTCGACAACAATAGGCCGGTCACCCGGTTTAAAATCATCCGATTTAACATCATCATTCACTTCATTCAGTTTAACATCGTGCTTCACTTTGTCCGGTTTAACATCCATCCTCACAATAGCTTTTGGTAACATTTGGGTGCACCGTATCTAATACAACAAATAATAGAAAAACATATTTTAAAATTCAAAGTATCATGCATATCCAGAGATGCATATCCGAACCACACCAAATTTTGTCCGGAGATGCATATCCTAACTAAAAGTTCATTTTTTTAGTACAAAAAACTTAAGAATGTAAGGAATGAGAGATGAAATGAATGAACTTTATCTGCAACCCCAACTTCTTTTTCTCTCTTTGGTGTGATAAAATTAAAAAAAAAATGATATTTTAGTATTGAAAAATTGATTGAGAATGAATTTTTTTAAGGATTCTTACTTTGAGAGTGAAGTTTCAACAAAATGTGATGTTTTATCCGTTTTCTAACATTTTCGAATATGCATCTTTAGAAATATCACTGAAGTGTTAATTAAACCAACTCAATGAATAAAACTATTATAATTAAGAACATGAGTATTTCAGAGATGTATTTTCGAATATATCTTAAACTAATATTCAAAGATAAATCTTTAGACGAAAATTAATTCAAAATGGAATGGCTTTCAAAAATTATGAAAGTTTGTGTAATTTTTAAGTGCATTCAAGATTTTCGAATTTTCAATACATGAACGCCATAAGGGTTGAAAAAAGTATTCCCCAATTTTTTTCCTAGTGCATCAATTGCTCCACGTGTACACTTATACAAAATGAGAATGCATCTAATAGAAAACATACACACTCCTTTAACAAATCCAATCGTCGATAGTGTTTCAATCTTCATTTCTTAAATTCATCAAATACACTCACAATAACACAACACTCTCGACGAAAACTTGAGGCAAGTGAATCAATATTGTCGTGCCTTCATTTTCCAATCACAGGTTTCATTACTCATTCACCTAAACCCTTTTTTTCTTCATTTCTCAATTCACTTTCAATTCCCACCTACCCACGTATTCATTTTCATAATTCCATTAAAGTTCTCTTCTTTTTCATGAATCTATTCGATTTCTTCTTTTTCTTACCGACCCTTTTGTTGCATCAATCAAAAGTCAACGTAGGATAAAACGGTGATTTTTTTATTTATTTTTGCATATTTTTGTGTGTTTAAATGATTAAGAATTTCTTTGGCTAAGGGTTTGTTTGATTTGATATGATGCAGTTTTGTAGGATATAGAAAAATTGAAAAACTAGGTACAAATTATGAGTCGGTTGAACAAAGATACAAGTAACTGTATGGATGATGGAAGTGGGAGTAGTGAATCTAGTGAAAGTGGAGGGTATGGAGAAGGGACAAGTTATCTTGTTCATGAAATTGCACAGATCACCAAACTTAGGTCAAGTCCTAATGAGAATTTGAGTCATGTTGTTCCTGGTAGGATGAGAAGATTACCTGCATCAACTGTTAGAATGTTGGTAGGTAGAGAAGGTAATTATTCTGGAAGAGGGAAATTTTCAGCTGCCGATGGATGTCACATGTTAAGCCGCTATTTGCCTACTAAAGGTCCTTGGATTGTTGATCGGATGGGAAGTCGCGCTTATGTTTCGCAGTTTTCGGATGATGGTTCTCTTTTTATAGCTGGATTTCAGGTTAATATTGCTATCATTAATGTCATTGTAGTTATTGTTTTGTATAGTTATTTGTGAAGTGAAGGTGAAATATGATGCATTGACACATGACACTGATACTGACACGTCGATACTATAAATAGTTTGAGAAATGATACTATAAATAGTTTGAGAAATGAAAGAAATTAAGTATAACTATGTGTCGTTGTGGTGGTGGTGGATTCCAGACATGGGTTTTAATATAAGGTGTTGGTGCTACATATGAAGATGATTTTGTTAACAGAAAGTTTTGTATTCGTGAAACTATAATTATGGGACGAAAGTGTCTTTAAGAGCATCTTTAGTGGAAGTAAACTAAATGGGTAAACTAAGATACTTTTTATGGGTGCAAAGTGATTTGTAGGATTTAAAAAATTTATAGTTGATTTGAGTAGTTTTTACTTTAATGGTGGTTGTCTATAAGAAACCAAAACTTGATCCCATATTTTATATTTTTTATTTAAGTTACCATTAATTTAATTATTTTAATTAAAATGCATACAATTTTTTAAATAAAATTTACTTTAAAAACTTAAAAATGATATTAAAAATATTTTATTATAAAATTAAAAATGGTACAAAATTCACAAAAATAATCCATAAAAAAATTACATTTTCACAAGAATATAATTATAATAAGAATTCGATTGGTTGTGATCCATTTGATAAATAAATAAGATTGAAAATTGAAAGAAAAAAATTTAGAAGTAAAACTGTGTGTAAAAAAAATTAAAATTTCTATAGAATTTATAAAAGGTAAAAAATGATAATATGATCGTTACTATTTTTAAATATCATACCGTTACTTTAATGCTGTTGGAATATTTGGAACATTTTATTAATATTAAATAATATTATAATAAGTTTTACGGGAATAGTTAACTTTAACTATATAGATAATGGGAACTAAATTTTAGTTCACTTGGATGCCATGTCAGCTCTACTATAATGCAAATTCCTTATTACTAACTTAAGCTATAAAACATTTTGGTTTAACAATCCTGCGTTAAAGTTGCTCTAAATCCTCTTTTTTGGTTGTTTCTGATTTGTTATGAAACAGGGAAGCCACATTAGGATCTATGATGTTGAGAAGGATTGGAAAGTTAAGAAAGACATCTCTGCTATAAACTTACGGTGGACAATTACTGATACATCTCTTTCACCTGATCGACAATATCTTGTAAGTTCGACTCGTGAATTCATCTAAGTTTGAGCTATCATTTATCACTTTGTCTCTTTTAACTTCTTGAATTTTGACAATTTGTTAATTCATTATTGCAGGTTTATGCTAGTATGTCGCCAATTATCCATATTGTCAATGCAGGATCGGCTACAACAGAGTCAGTAGCAAATGTGACAGTATGTCCTTGAATTTTTTACCTATGTTCAGTTATCAAATTGCAATTCAAATTGTGATACGCATCACTTAATTTTCGTATTCTTAAACTGTAAATTGTGTGATTTATAGACACAGTAAAACTAGCTTGAAATATATCATATAAGTGATCTATAATACTTATGATATAATGTATGTATGTATGAGTCTACAAATATTTGTTTGCTTTACATTCATAAACCATTCTTCTATTGCAGGAAATTCATTATGGATTAGATTTTGATTCTAACAATGATGGTGTTGAATTTGGGATTTTCTCTATCAAATTTTCAACGGATGGGCGAGAGCTAGTGGCTGGAACTAGTGATAGTTCGATATGTGTATATGATCTTGGAGCAGATAAGCTAAGCCTTAGAATTCCTGCTCACCTGGTATTATATATTATTTTCCTATAATTGGTTACTGATTTTGCATAAGTTGTTTTAGAATTATTGATCCGAATCTTCTCAAAACAGAGTCTTTTGGTTCCCTTTGTTATAATTGTCGATCTTTTTGTTCATCGCTTTAAAGTGGCATTTCGACTTCACCTGGAGTTTTATTTGTCAGTATAGACAGCGGATCATATCTGATGTTTCGTTTTTATGTTGCAGTCTGATGTTAACACTGTATGCTTTGCCGATGAATCTGGTCATCTCATATATTCTGGAAGTGACGATAGTTTCTGCAAGGTACACTTCACATTATAACTACAAGAGACTTTGTTATACCTATTTCGCATTTGATGTTTTCATTTACCGCATGTCATAATTTGTAGACGTTATGATCTGTGCAGGTATGGGATAGGCGTTGCTTTGTCTCGAAAGGACAACCTGCTGGCGTCCTAATGGGACATCTAGAAGGCATTACATTCATTAATAGTCGCGGAGACGGACGCTATTTAATTTCTAACGGAAAAGATCAAACTACCAAATTATGGGACATAAGGAAGATGTCTTCTAACGCCATGAAGTAAAATCTTTTTATCCTTCGTATTGTTCGATTTATACACTAACGAATAGTATATTTTCATGATGGATTGTTTAATGATGATGCTTGTTTACTTAAACCAGCAGTCTTGGCCTTGGAGACGACGAGTGGGACTACCGATGGATGGACTATCCAAGATATGCAAGAAATCTACGACATCCCCAAGACCAGTCACTGGCAACATATCAAGGCCACTCAGTCTTGCGTACTCTAGTTCGCTGTTACTTCTCACCATCGTATAGGTAACCTGTATTTTCTGCACATTCTTGCTCTTGTATATCAGTGTTATTTTACATGATATATGATTTTAAATCAACCGAAATATTTCTTTTTGCAGCACTGGTCAAAAATACATTTACACCGGATCTAGTGACGCGTCTGTCTATATATACGACCTGGTAAAAACACCTCAAATTTCAAATCATCTGCGCAACTTTAGAATTAGTTATGATTATAATACAATGCTCTTAAGAATCTCACAATTACACTTGATTAGAAGATTAACATTTAGTTTCCCTTCGTTTATAGGTGAGCGGAGAACAAGTTGCGAAACTTGATCATCACGAAGCACCTGTAAGAGATTGCAGCTGGCATCCTTACTATCCGATGCTGATAAGTTCGGCATGGGATGGTGACATTGTTAGATGGGAGTTTCCTGGAAATGGTGAACCAACTGCTCCTCCTCCGACTAGAAGATCAAGCGGAGTTCGTATTAGAGGAATGTATTATATGTAAGTGCATGTTGTTTGTACATATATCTATATCTCTGGATTCATACATTTAGGTAGCATAAGTTTTTATGCATATTTCTTTGTTTACTTTTTCTACAGAAAGGGTCCCTAAAGTTTGTTACATTTATTTATAGCTTGGTTTTGTAAGCCTATCATGGATGAAAATAAATAGTTGGATTAAGTTCTGTATATTATTGTCATCAGATTGTTAAATTAAATAATAATAATAAATAATAACAAAGTTAATATTATTTTCTTCTAATATTAAATACTCTATATGTTCTAGATTATATGTCATTTTAGGAAAATATGTTTTTCTTTTTCAGTTACAAAATAAAATAGGAAAATATGTTTCTCTATATAATTGTCATAAGAGTGTAGTGTTATATTTCAAAGAAAGTAAGGTAGTTTTACTATTTTATGCATTAATGATACATTAACAAGTGAAAGAGCCTTTTGTGATATGGAAGCCAATATCAATATGATGTCACTCTCTAGTGTTGCGAGGAGAAGTGAAACCAACCCATTCTTTATCGTAAAATCAAAGATAAGTTTGATTTTATTTAAGAGATTAAACTGAAAAATTTTAAGATAAATTTGTGCAAGAATTGTATGTTGAAAGTATTTTACAATGAATGTCAAGAACATTGAAAGAAAAAATAATGCAGTAAAGTGAATAGGCAAAAAAGAAATATTAAAGGAAAAAATTAACTTTATAAATGGAATGCAAATACATATATTATATATTGAAAACTCGTTTCTCACTTTTACAATTGGATGCTTTTGAGTGTGTAATACGTAAAACTGCGGACCTCTAAAACTACAAACAAACACTGCTTATGTATTAGTTTTAATATAAACCGTTTACAATGGTCGACTTAGAAAAATTTAACACATCTTCGTCTTTATGCATCTTTCGTCCTTGACAGGTTTCCACGTGTTCGAGAATAATTGTATGATCTTATCCATACTTTTTTTTCCCGATAAAAACAACACAGTCACGTCAACTAAACAAATCCCCAAATTTCGCTGAGTCTTTTAACTCGGACAGGGTCTTCAAATGGACCTCTCGACCAACTTTCCTAACCACCTTCGACAAAATATGCTTAACAAGCGGCTAATTGGTCTTCTGGTCGAAAATGACCATTTCGACTATGGGTGAAACCTTACATCCCTACCATAGCCAAATTTGATCCTGAATTATCATGTTTATTACCCGTGTCAAAAATATGAGGTAACGAATTTCCCTCCAAAATGCCATTTTTCGACCACACAGGTGTCGAAAGGGAGAAATGTGGCATTTTGAACACTTTTCGAAACTGTTCAAATCACTCTACTGACGTCAATGTCATCATTATGACTTTTCACAAATTTCTATTTAACATGGGTTTTTGCAAAAGAATAACCAATACTCCTACTTCCTAGGAGCAGTGTTTTAAAAACCTGACCGGTCATCGAACCGGTGAGGGTATTGGGTCACTGGTTTATCGGTCGAACCACTGGGTCACTGGTCGAACCGCATGACTAAATCGGATTAAATCGGATAACTCGGTTGAATAAACTTGTCATTATATAGATATAAAACCGGTTGAACCGGATGATTCAGTTTCTAAAAAAATATAACTAGTACTTAAATTTTTTGAAAATATCATATCATAAATTCACAAGTTCATAATTTAAATTCAAATTTTAAATAAAATTACAAAATCTAATTGCAAACAAAGTCTAATTGCAACAATTTCTCCATCAATGATATCATTTATTGATTATTATAAAATAAGAGGTAACTATTTGTAAGTAAAATATGATTCTCCTAAAAAGAAAACCAAATAAAATTTAATATATTTATGCTATTTCACTTTCCCTTTCAACAAAATACATGCATTTTTCGATTGTTAATATTTTGACACTAAATATAATTAATTATAAATTATAATAAATTAAAATTATTAGCAGTGACAAAATATAAAAAGATAAAATATATAACAATCTAAAAAGTTAAAATAATAAGGTAATTAATTTGTTACTAACCACAAAGTTACAAACTATTTAGGAAAATGTATTAGCAAAAATAATAAATAGTCAATAAAGTTTGTAATTTGTCACTAAGGAGAAAAAAAATTTATGTGATAATGCTATTTAAGTAATACACGACTAAATATATTTTTAAAAAAAAGTTTAAAAAAAAATGTTTTTTAAAAATAAAAGTAAAAAAAAAAAATACAATTGAACCGCCGGTTTTTCTGGTTTTCCCGGTTCACGCCGATTCTCACCGGTTCAATGGCGAGGCCGATCCACCAATTAAACTAAACCGACTAGTGTCCCGGTTCCCGGTCCGACTTTAGATGCATCCAGAATGGGCCATAAACATACATAGATCTAGAATGAAAAGCTTGAGAAAATTCAGAGGTTACCTGGTGGAATAGGTTCACTGCACCTTGTTTCCTTGCGCAAATGCTTCACAAACCTCTCTTCCAAGCTTCAATGATGGTGAAGTGACCAAGAAAGTGAAGAAACTTTGCACAAAAACCTTGGTTCGAAGAAAGATAATTCTTGAGAGAGTGAGTGCTCAGATCTTAAACTTGGTGAAGAATGGATCGGGTTTGGAGTTAATGAGCTTATATAGGGTGTTTTTAGGGTTGGAAAGAGGTGAGGAAACAAGCCAGCAGGTTCAGAATCGTTTACTTTGGTTTGGAAACAAAGAATGAGTGTGAAATGGTACACATGTGGTTGGCTCGGGTTCTAGTTGGCTATAGGCTTAGCATGAGGTTTGGGAGAGTGAAAATGAATGAGGAAATGAGGTCATGAAGAATGTATTAAAGTTAGTACGTAGGAGAGTGAGGGTGAAACAAATTGGAGCAATTTCCTTTATTCTCTTTTTGGCAAAATATTTGAAATGGGGAGCATGAGATGTGCATACGACTTGGTTCATTTTGGCAATGTTTTGGTAAAGGAAATGATGATGCATGCTTGTGGTGCTGATATACAATGATCATGCTTCCATAATGTACCAAGAATGTGCAAAAGAAGAATAACATGGTGACACCTTGAATCAAGTCCATATAGCCAACTTTATGTCATTGTAACTTGGTGAATTGCTCCAAACCATGAGTTCTTGATCCTAAAAGAAAGTAGGAAGTATGATGAACAACTTTCATGTTGAAAGCAACTTGAAAAAAGGATTGGAATTAAGTGAAAAAGGGACTTGAAGTTGGCTTCATGACATTGATCCATGACCTATAAATTTTGACCACTTGAAAACCCCAACTTTGAGACATCATAACTTGAGTTTTAGAGATCCAAATGAAATGTTCTTGACATTAATGGAAAGCTTGAAGAATGCTTAACAACTTTCATGTTGAAGGAAATTTGAATCGAAGCTTGGATCATTAAGAAAATTGGACTTGAAAACATGTGCTCTAAGCTGAATTTCAACACTTAGAAAATATCTAAGTATTGAAAGCTTGAATCTTATTTTTCTCAACTTCATGCCATCATAACTCTTGATTCATGCATCTTTTAAAGTTGATTTCTTATACAAACTTGTAGTATGTAATGTCATCTTTAATTTGAGCATTATTTTACACCATTTGGATCAAGGATGAGGGAGATATGAGTCTTGCTAGATGGCTTCATGAACATAAATTTTCCATAAAAAAATTCCCAAAAACCCTAATTTGGCAACTTTTCCGATTTCTATTGATTTCTCTTGATCAAACCTCAAAATTACATGGGTGATGACTTGAAATGCCCAAATATGACCCAAGAACTCAAGAGTTGACTTTTGTAAGGCATCAGTTGACTTTTTGACCAGATGAATCCAATTATTCCTCTATCACTTAGAACATTCTTTGCAATGCTTTGTGATGAACCATGAGGCATATATGGAATCCTTGAAGTGTGCTTTGAACCCTAGAACCATGCTTACTTAAGAAAATAATCACAAGTAGCCTTTGACGAAAAAACCCTATCTCAGAGCCACTAGGAGCTTGATCAGATGAATCCTTTGAAACCATTGAAATCTCAATCCTTAGATGATTGTATGAACTTGTTGATGTACTTTGATGAGTATGAGACCCTTGTAGATTAATAATATCATGATATTGAGGACATATCCTCTCTCATTGCTTTGAAAACCAACTCATCCTCTTGAAAAAAACCCAGATACCTTGATCCCATGTTTTACAACCAATGCAATGTATGAAATGATGATGCAAATGAATGAAGCATAAGCCAATTAGAGTTAATAAAAGAAGGGAAAATTTTGGGGTGCAACACCAGTGAAGGCGATTGGGGAAGTGGATAGGACCAAGGGTGTTCATGCTAGCTTTGAGTTCCTGAATAAGATATATGATGATGAGATTGTTGCTGCACAGCAGACTGATGGTGATGCTAATCAGGTGGCATTACACAGAGCTCGTGCTTTGGGGCATATTTTCTTTATTTTGTTGGAACTTGCATTTTTATGGACACGAGTGCCACTTATACTGATGTTGCATACCTCCGGTACTTTTTGGATCTCACTCGAATCCATGAGTACAATTGAGGGAGACTTGTCTGGCCTATATATATTCGAAGTTGACAGATGAATGTTAGTGGAAGATGAAGTAGGTCACAGGCAGCGTGACCCTACTGGTGATAATAATTCTTAATCCTTGAATGTCTTTTTTTGTCATTTACAGTTCATACTTCCGATAATTCTTAACCCTTGAATGTTTTTTTTTACTTTTCATTTCAGGGTTAGATCCTATAGCATTTCCTGGGAATCACTGGTTAGGCGAGTGTGCCTGAGTACACTGAGGACATGCAACGTGCTCGTGCTTTTATCTAGCTCAGAGGGAACCAGGTAGTCGAGCCTTTTAGAGTTTACCTTGACCGTTTGGTTGTTGAGAACATCCACTTCAACAGCTACGTGGATCACCGTCAAACGCGACCATTTGACGACATAACTACTCTAGATGGTTGGCATGCGGATCTCCTATCACTACTTCTCATTTCCTGAGC